AATTCGGTTCTGGAGATTTGATTCACTATATCCAGAGTTCGGTATAGCCAGGTTCGGTATAGCCAGAGTCAACTGTACAAAAAAATAAAAACAAGAATTATTTATAATCATCTAGTTAGCTATATTTTTCTGCAGTACTCACTATAACTGATTTTACTTAACACCAATAAAACTGTTACTTTTAACTTTGGGAAAATGGTTCTGATCCGGTTTTTTAAGTGCAGTTTGAAATAGAACACGATCTAGAAATATGCTCTTCCAATCCATTAATTTGTTTAAAGCATCTTTCAAGGAAAATTTTTTCTTTACCTATAGTGGACAAACATCATGATCAACTGCTAGCACTCCATCTTCTTGTTTTCTCCGCTTTCTGAGAAACATTCAAAAACATTCAGAATCAATGTGCTTCTAAAAGTGAAATATATATTACTATTTGCCAAGTATTTTACTGGATTTCTTTTATTAACCAACTATTTATATATATGATCATTCCATTTGTGTAAGGCATTATTGCAACCAAATTGTTAATTACCTAAGAAATTTAAATAATTTGTTAATTTATTTAGTTCCAATAATTCGGGAAAGGAATAAACTGTGTAGTTTATTTATATACTCATATTGAATTTAAAGACACTTGCTGTAAATGTTTGGTCTGGTAGCTACCATTACCATAAATAGCTATAAATAGATATGGCTACTGCAAATAACTACGACTGCTGGAAATAGTTTTCAATTATTGTCATAGTCATATTAGTCATGTGAAAATTTGAATTATTTGTGATCTGCAACTGAATTTTTTTTTGATAAATCCAGCTTAAGCTATATTAACCAATTGGCAAGGAAAATTTATTGCCTGCATGGATATTACACCATATAGTCACTTCATTGGATTTCTTTTTTCTTCTATATAAAATAAGAATAGCAATAAAAACAATGATGATTGCACCAGATGTAACTTATCCAATAATTATAGCTAGTTTAAATAATAGTTTTATAAATATTGAGAATTCCTAACTAATAATGATGAAAAGGAAGTGATGATGAAGGTGGGACACTTCACTGTAAAATCCCAAGTAGAAGAGGAAAAAATGGGATAATGTGTAATTATATTTATCCTTTTATCCAAATACACTATAGAAATTAATTGACATATTTCATTATTATTATTTTTTGCAAAAGTGTAAATAGTAAAACAAATATAGCACAATATTAAAAATTAAGTATATACAGTACAAAATAAATAAATAAATCATAATATAATCACATACAAACAAAAGATAATTCATATTTTATTTATTTTAGGTGTGACCACATACTAATACAATATGAAAAATGAAAAATATGCGCAGATGGAATGCATGCTGAAAAAAACACTTTATCTTACATTTAATTGAGGAATGTATTGGTTAGACTTCTATTCGAATAAGGTTTATTCAAATTATTCATTTTATTCGTAATGAATTTGAGTATTCAAATTACATTGAAAGTTTATTCGAACTAATAATTCAAATAAATTTTTTAATTTGATATTGAATAAATTTTTTTAAATTCGAATAAAGAAATTGTATTACAAATAGAACCATAAAAATGATAAAGTCTATTTTATTTTGTTGGTTGTTTTCAAAATCAAATGAATTAAAATTATTTCAAGAACTTGCTCATTATGTGGATCTTTGCAATGTTTTATATTTAGCTTTTATTTGACTAAAAAACAAAGTTCATTTATTTTGTGGGATTCTTTAAACACATATAGTTCACTCTCTATAGCAGCCATTTCTATAATGGTTTTTGCTCTATAACAGACTGAGAATTTGAGCCCAATTAAAATTATCTGTGTCTCATATACTTTCAATAACAGTTTCTCTCTATAACAGTTTTCTTTGTTGAAACAGAAGAGCTGTTAGATAATGAACTGTACAATATATTACATACATAGAGTTTTATATGTTACTTGTTTCTGTAACCCCCCTTTGTTTTATTATTATTATTATTATTATTATTATTATAGATGATAATAATCTTTAAATTTAAAGCTTTTGCTTATTCATTTTACTGTGAAGAATTTTAGGATAGCATAGATTAATGACAAATGTTGTCTGGACTGTCTTTATTGGGGTACTTTAAGTGACTTTGGACTGGTATCTGTTTTTCTGATAACTCAAT